ATATGGCTGGGAAGTTGGCTCAGTGGTAGAGTGCTTGCCTCACATGCATGAGGCCCTGGGTTTGATTCCTCAGCACCACATAAGCAGAAAAAAGCCAGAAGTAGCACTGTGGCTCAAGTGGTACAGCACTAGCCTAGAGCTGAAGAACTGAGGGACAGTCCCAGGCCCAGAGTTCAGCCCCACAACTGACCAAAAAAACCCAAAGCAAAACAAAAAAGTGTAATATGTGCACATATTCTTCTAAAAATTTTTGTGTGTATGTGTGTGCCAGCCATGAGTGCTGGTACTGAGCTTGAATTTAGGGCCTAGGTGCTATCCCTGAGCTTTTGATTTCAAGGCTAGCATTCTACTTCTTAAGCTATAGCTTTTAGTGATTACTGGAGAAATGAGCTCATGGACGTTCCTGGAAAACCCAGGAAGCATGTGGAGCATGTGGCATGCCCTCAGGGAGCTTGTGCTCAGGGGAGGGGTGGCGTGTGCTTTCTCTGTGAACTCCTGAGCTCTGCCCATCCCATGCTTGTCTCCCTCACACTTACGATCCATCCGGGTCAGACTCCCTAGGCTAGGGGCTAAGAATCTGGTGCTGGGCCAGGTATAAATTTATTCCCTGGAAAGCAGCCAAGTATGATTTCTGCTTTTTAAAAAAAAAAAAATAGAAATTGAACACTTAAAGGAAGCAATTTAATTTCATGATAGACACAAAAGTCACCTAAGGGAGAAATAGATCAATACAATGATTACCTCACCTATCCCAGGGGTTACATCCCAGACAGCTCTGTGATAGGTGAAAATCTGCTAAGCAGCAGCGTCACATAGTTATTCCTTACTGTATCGTGGTTCACTGATTGCTACTTTGTGGATTTTCACATATTGTGGGGGGTCTCCCATAATATGTGAGGGATCACTATGTTTTGTTTTTTTTTAAAACCTGCAATGCAGTGGAGCCACAAATAAATGAACTGCAATATATATATTTTGGTGCTGGTCCTGCAGCTTAAACTCAGGGCCTGGTTGCTGACCCTGAGCTTTTTTGCTCAGTGCTAGCAGTCTACCACTTGAGCCATATCTCCACATCTCACTTTTTGGTGCTTAATTGAAGATAAGAGTCTTAGTCTCAGACTTTCCTGCCCAAGCTGTTTTTGAACCATGATTCTCAGATCTCTGCCTCTGAGTAGCTAGGATTACAGATGTGAGCCACCAGTGCCCAGCAGTAATAAATAGATTTAAACAATGATAAACCAGGCAACTGGTTAATGGACTTTGCTCTTAAATTTTGCTAAATGCTAATAAAGATATGATAACAGTAGTTTGAAATTGCTTCCAACAAATAGAACTGGAACATTAAAGAGGGTGATATATAGAATGGCAGCTAACTACCTTATGAGCCATTTCATGAGGGTTCTTTGGACCCAAACCCCTGGAATATTGGAACTTTGGCAGTAATAGGAGGTATATCTATAGAGCTTGCTCTCACTTCTTATCTCTTGTTGGTGGTGCCTGGTGGGCTTTCTGATCTTTTATTCCACAAAAGCTAATTGTTTTGTTTCTGTAGGGCAAGCTGCCTACTCGGATCACAGTTCCACTCTCTGTGATTAGCCAGCCAATGAAGGGCAAGAGTGTGGTCACAGCCCCTATCATCAAAGGCAACATTGGAGCCAAGTGAGTGCTCTTGGGAGGGGAGGAGCTTGGGAGTGGGTCTATACAAGGTGTGTCAGTCCTTGCACAGAACAGGAAGATGCCATGTGTTTCTGGGGCCCCATCTTGGTGCTCATTAGTAGTAGTGATTAAGGCACAGAATTCCATGCTGTCTCTAGTCATAAACAGTAGAATGGAGTGAGGAATAATAGTAATAAAGTGGTAGAATAGAAGGGAGGGATATGGGGTGGTTAGGCAGGCCTCAGGTATGTGGGGAACCTGCCTTTTCTGTTTAAGTTCTGAACTCAAGATAGTTTGGAGGATAATAGCTTTCTGTGACTCTTAAACAGAGACAAAGGGGTTGGTGAAGACAGTGGCTGTTCAGGGCTATGGAGTTCATGTTCTTTTCTCTTTTTTAAGAGATAGGGTCTTACTGTGTTATGCAGACTCACTGTAAAATCCACCCTAAGTGATCTTCATGCCTCAGCCTCTAAGTAGCTGGGACTTAGGGTGCCACTGTGCTTGACTGCGAGGGTGTCTTTCAGTGTAACATAGCTCTTCTGCCATCTCTTCTTGCTCGTTGGGGGTTCATTGTTCATGGAATTTTATCCAGTACCATGTAAGCTTCTGCCATGGGAAGCATAGAAGCTAGAAAAAAGAGGATCTCTGTACCAAGTTTTATTTGAATCCAGAATGCTGGAATTTTCATGGGCACTAGATCTTCTCTCCTTGTCCTTTAGTGCCTGGCCTAAAGTTAGGCTTGAGAGATTATCCTATGAGTTGGCCAGAACTTACTCCTATATTATGTCTCTTCTCAGCCTCAGTGGACTGGGCCGCAATATCATCCTCACAACCATGCCAGCAGGCACTAAGCTCATTGCTGGCAACAAGCCTGTTAGTTTCCTCACTGCCCAGCAGTTGCAGCAGCTTCAGCAACAAGGTCAGGCTACTCAGGTAAGGTCCTGGTTGCAGACTCTTGGCCACTCTAGGCTGTTCTGTCTCCTTTGTAATTCTTACCTCTGAGCCCACTAGCAGTCATGACTTAGCCCTTCTCTGTTTGCAAACAGGTACGCATCCAGACAGTTCCTGCATCCCATCTCCAGCAAGGTACAGCATCTGGATCCTCCAAAGCTGTCTCTACTGTTGTTGTGACCACAGCTCCATCCCCTAAACAGGCACCTGAACAACAGTGACTGAAGAAGTGGCATCCACGAGAATCCAGGCCTGATGTGTCCTAGTGGAAAGGACAGGAGCAAGGAGGTTGCATAGTTCCTCTGAGCTTGTCTGCTTGTGGCCTTGGTTCCATTGCCAAACTCGAGCCTTGGGGGTCCCCTCCAGAGCTTCTGGGTCTGCTCTCTATCAGTCCAGGAAAAGGGCTTGTTAAAGACTGGAAAGTCACTTAGGTCATACAAGCCAGGGTTTTCTCCTGAGAGTGGGATGCCCAGGGAAGACCTACCCAATGAGAGAGAGCAGGCAGTCTTATAAGCCTTGTTGTACGTGAGGGCTGTACTTTTTAGCTTCTTGTCTTCTCTGTGACTCTTGGTCTACATATGAGTTTTGTGTCCAGAAATATTTGTGTAACTTATTTTTTTAAAGAACCTATTGTACATCTTTTATGAAATAGAAACCTGGGCTTTAGCCCCCTAAACTGATGAATTACTCTTTTGACCAGAATAAGAGACTGGCAAGTTGATGCCTCTTGATAACTACATGGTAATTGGGAAGCAGGCAAACATAGGAAGTGAGGTAATACGGATTCCCTGAAGTGGAATTAGTTTGACACTAATTCCTAAAAGTAGGTGTTGGGATCTAGATTGTCTGTTACCTGCCAGTGTCCTTCCATCAGGCTTGTTTACATGGAAGTCCAGCACCAGTAGACGAGGAAGTATCAAAGACACTACTTTTTCAGCATAGACTTTGTCACATTTCAGATTGTCCATTCTGTTTTGTTCTAGAGCAGGAGTTGCAAACCAGGCCCTTAGAGTAGGTCACTTACTTTTGTCAATAAAGTTGTAATGGAATACAATCCACAACTACTTGTTTATGTAGTGTCTGTGGCTGATTTTCAGTTAGAAGTCAGGATTTAGTAGATGACATAGAGGCTGTATGGCCCATAAACCCAGACTTGATACCCCTTGAAGAAACATTTCTAGCTCCAGTGGAAGGATGAGGGGTAGAGGTGGGGGTTGTGCAGGGTCAGAACTACCTGGCAATGCCAAGTTTAGAGCAGGTCAATCTGGATTTGAAGTCATCCCTGACTACGTCACTCTTTTCAGCCACTATCAATAGGCAGAGCTCAGAATGGTCTTTTCAAAAGTCATAGTACTTAAAGCACTGATCATTACCAGTACCTTATTTGTGGATTTATTCCACTAGATTTGACCAAGTGTGGGGTGAAAAAAATTCCCATGCATGCCTTGTACAACTCAGTTAGTGCAAGCTCAGTCAGTCTTTTATTGTCAGTGTGTTTTAACTGTGCTTCCTGAGCATTTGTGGTGTTTCCTCAGTGCCAGTCTACTTGGAGCCAGTTACCTACAGATACCATTGGTCTACTGTATATGCCTGTTGTTGGCCAGGGGCAGGTTGGAAACTTTTCTGCAGTGGTAGGGCTTCCCTGTCTCTTGTGAAAATGCCCAGATTATTAAAAAATTATATTTAATCTCTGAAACTTCAGTGACTTATCTTTTATGGGGTCTGGTGGGAAAGGTAGCTGGAGGGCATCGAATGGAAATGGCATGGTTTAGATGGAAGCAGGGTTGACTCTAGATGGTTTGTAAGTTGTGGAGAAGCAGAGAAGGGCTAGTGCAGCTTGTGGGTTATGCAGCAGTTTCACAGTTCCTTTGATCCTCATAGCAATTCTGTCAGACACTAGCATCCACACTTTTGAGTGTGGAAAAGAGGTGACAAGACCCTTGGTCTAGACCCAGTGAGAACAGCACAAACCCAATCTGATGGAAGAGAGAAGTTGGTCTTAGGGTTAGTTGTCCTGAGAAGCAAGCTGGCCTGCCTTCATTTGTGGTTACCAAGGGTGACTCGTACCATACCCTTCCTCATGGTTCCCACGTGTGCATTAGCACAGAAAGCCCTGCACGTCCATGAAAAAGCCAAATTAAATATCCCTTTAGAATAGGATGTTCAAAAAGCAGCAGAATTTGGGGGCATACATTTCATGTGAGTAGATTGGCAGATGGGACCTGGACAAAGTACATCAGGAGATCATCATCAACAAGGTATTAATGGAGATCATAGGCCAAGAGGCATATTAGAGAAAAGGGCCATGTAAACCCATCCCCAAGGTGTGCCTACAGCATTGTCATGCAACACAGCCTTCAGGATTTCTCTTGGGCAGGCACCAGAGGGAATGCCTAATCCAGGTCCTGTGCGGGGCATTTGGTATGAACAATCATCTGCCAGAACCAGTATCCCTGAAGAACAGCAAGACTGGCTCATAAAAGTTCCAGCACAGGCCAGATGCCGGTGGCTCATGCCTGTAATCCTAGCTACTCAAGAGGCTGAGATCTGAGGATCACGGTTCAAAGCCAGCCCGGGCAGAAAAGTCAGTGAGATTCTTATCTCCAATTAACCACTAGAAAACTGGAAGTGGTGCTGTGGCTCAAGCGGTAGAGCACTCACCTTGAGCTAAAGAGTGTAGGGATAGCGCCCAAGCCCAGAATTCAAGCCCCATGACAGACAAAAAAATTAAGTTCCAGCACAATATTGTCTCAACAAAGCACTTCAAGGAAGGTAGTGATACTTCCTCCAAATGCAATAAACTCCAGGAGTGAGTAGATGTGCTGATCCAGCAGGGGTCGATTGTGAACATGGTAGTAGAAGAGAAAGCCTACCACAAACCAAACGGCAGCCATCAGACTTGCTTGTGTCTGCTTACGAGGATTCACCCTGGACTCTTCCTTGTTATTGGGGTTTCCTGTTCAACCCTCTCAAAGCTAGAGTTCTCATTGTTTAGGAAGGTGGTTTACATGACATGACAGGGCAGTTAAGAGATACAAATACAGTTTTATTTTATGGGTCTGATAAGAGCATTAAAGAATGTTGCTTAAAATCTATAAGACCCATGTGTGGTTGGGTTCTATTTAGAATCAGTAGGGCAGGTGGATTGTGGTGCCATTATGTATGTATGTTTTGCCCTCCTTTAACAAACAGTTCAGCTTTTCCTGCTGAGGTTCAGAAGTGGGTGATGTGGTAAGACTACAGGATGCTTTTTCAGGCACTAGGAGTGCTAGGCATATTGGAACATCCAGCAGAAGCTATGTATGTGTGTGTCCCCAAGGCATGTCTGTAAAGGTTTGGCCCCAGGCTGGGAGTACTTACTGGGAGGTGCTCAGGTTACTGGGGGCATGTCTGCAAGATTGTGAGGCCAGTTTTAGTGTCTCCCTTTGTAGTTCAAATAGTGACCATTTTGTTCCTACATAAGCTCGTTATAATGTGCTTTCTGCATCAGAGGGAGAACCTACAGTGGCCACCTGATATTGTGAACTTGAATTTCCAAATAAACCTCCTCACAAATACCCTTTCAGGAATTTCATTGAGGGATGAGAAACTTGACTCAAATAGGGGGTCTCCTGAGGTTTGCAATGAGGTGTGAAACATGATACCTCAGGGCATGGGATAGGGAGCCTCAGATTTTCTCTTCCCTATTTTTTTTATTACCGTTATGGTGGTATTCAGGCAGCTTAGGGCAGTCACTGTATATGTGAATTTGTGCACACGTGTGGGGCAGCAGGACTGTGGGGAAGGTTTGTGCAGCATTAGAGGCTTTGAGGATTACACACAAGCCTCACCACCATGGGTTGCTTTTTCTGAGTTTGTTTTTTTTCAGTTCAACATGTCAGGTTATGACTACAATGCATCTCGTTCAATATCACCTCATCCATCTATCTCCCCCATTTCTCTCCATGGGCTGCCTTATAGATTATGTCATCTGGACCACCCAGAGCATAGGACCAAAGTCCTGTTCAGGTTTTTAAAGTCCTGAGAGTTGGGTTTTTTCCTGGAGGAGGTTCTTACATTTCCAATATCTTTTGTATTCTGGTCTCTCATAAATTATCTTGTCTATCTGTCCTTCCTTAACTCCATCCACTCTAGTCTGTTACCTTCATTATTGATATACACATCACCAGTCTGTCCACCCGCAAGGGCACGATGTGGGTGAAAAGGTAGGTGAGCATGTCAATGATTCCTGAGATTCCGAAGAAGAGGTACATAGTGGAGTGCTGCCAATTCATCATCTTCACCCAGTGGTCATCTTGGTAGAGATGGAAGAAGGGCCCATCCCTAACAAGCTGCTCTGCCAGGGACCCTGCAGGGAAGCAAGGGTCAAGAGTGAGGAAGAAGAGCTGCTCCCAGACCAACAGGAGACAGCACAAAACAGTCCCAAGGCACACACGAAGTCCAGATATGGGTGACTTGGCCTATGAGTCAGCACCTGCTTTGCTGCCTGGGGAGCTGCTCCTTAGTATCAAATGGGATGTTTGCAGAGGAATCTCTGTAGACACATGGATGTTGTTTCCCAAATAGGGCAATAGAAGCAGCAATTGAAACATGCACATAGCAGACAGGATGAAGCAGAGTGACCTCTGAGGTGAAGGTGTGGCTGATGCACTATTTTTTAGGCTTTCCTGGCAAGTGAGCAGTGAAGAGATCCCAGGAAGAAACAATGAGGACAAATGAAGACTCCAGGCTGATGTGCTGTGATGTAGATGGCTGTGCCTGTCCAGGGGCATAGCAGCTCCTGTATGTGTGTCCTGAGGTAGACTTGGAGTGAGTGAGTGCTTGCCCTTCCTTAGCAGAGTTCTGAGATCTACAGCTCCTCTGGCCTTCTGTTTTAAAACACTGGCTGAACAAAGTGAAGGGCTGCAGTGTGTGTCTGGCCACACTGTCTACATTGAGGCAGGACTGGGGCCACAAGACTGGTGAAGTTGTGCTTCAGGGTTGCTCACAGTTTCATCCCTTTTACTTTAAGCACCGATCTTGCCTTTTTGCCCAGCACTCACTCACACCCTTTCCCTAAATATTTGTTTTTCGGGGCAGCCCCCTTCTGACTTCACATGGAAGGGTTTGGGAAGTTATGAAAATGACCCAGGAAAAGTCTCACTGATACTTAAATGAAAACCTTGTGAAGCAAAGACCCTTTATAGTCCCCATCATTTCCCTAGTTCTCAGACAGTGGGCCTGCGGTGTGGTTTGAAGCTCATGCTTGGAGCTATTGAATGTTTATCCCTTCTACCAACCAAACTGCCAAGTACAGTTTTTCTCACTTTGTTTAGGCAAAGTTGATACTGTCCTTTACCATTTAGACTAAGTGGTCCCAGTCTACTCCAGAAAGAGATTTCTAAAGCCTGATCTGAGTGGGGGTTGGGGGCTAGGGGATAAGGGAATGAAGATGTGTGTGTGTCGGGGGGCAGGAACAGCTGCATTAGGGAAAGCTAAGTAAGCTTTGCTTCCTCCAAGGGAAGCTACTTCATTGTTCAGTCCCTCCTGGAAGACTGTAGGTCAAGGGTGACAATAGTAGAAGGCAATCCACAACAAGATTCCTTGTTATCCTACAGATCCATTCTAAGGAAGGATAATTGTTACTCTTACCACTGCTGACTTTTCTGGGGCCACCAGCAGATAGAGAAGATGACAAGGAGCAATGGACGTGAGGAAGGGCCAGAAGACAAGGAATGGTTTTTCATCTCTTGTACTGCCCATCTCACTGGTCCCCTTGTACAAATGTTCCCTGTGAAGAGTTTCTTGAGACTAGAGGATGGAGGATAGGCCAGTGTATTGGATATTAAGTACTCTGGGATGCTAGAAGGAGATACAATAAGTGGTATTCAAGGCAGTTCCACAAAGGCACAATGTCTATGTGCAGCTGATCATACAAAATAATATTTATTGAAATGAACTCCAGGAAATGGAAATGAGGTTTTTTTCTTTGTTGTTTTCATTTTGGGGGGGGGGGGAGGGTCCGGTTGTGGTGCCTGAACTCTGGGCCTGGGTGCTATTCCTCAGCTCTTCAGCTCAAGGCTAGCGCTCTACCAGTTGAGCCACAGTGCCACTTCTGGCTTTTTTCTTTTTGCTTATGTGGTGCTGAGTAATCGAACCCAGGGCCTCAGGCATGCAAGGCAAATGCTCTACCACTGAGCCACCTCCCCAGCCCTCATTTTCTTTTAGTCTTGTTTATTCATGTATGTTTTGGGAGTGCTAGGGGAGGCACAGAAATGGAGGGACAAAGGGTAAACAAATGCAGCAGTGGTACTCACTAGACACGATGTTGAAAATAAACTATACAACTTGCGGTTGGGGATGGGAGGGAAAACCTGGGAGAGAGCAAGGGAAGGGGTGATATTGTCCAAAAGAAATATACTCTACCGGACTTTTAACTGTAACCCTACTATATATCACCTTTATAAAACGATAAAACAATTAAAAAAATAAAAACCATTTTAGTTCTTTCTCAAATCATGACTATGACCCTGTTCGCTCTTGTTTCTTTTCTATTTTTATCTTTTCATATAGTATGTGTTTTCTTCCTATATCTCTCTGCCTTTCTCCTTCTAAAGTAAATAATAGAGTTTATTTGGTAGTTTCTCATGTTGCATATAGTATAAGGCTTTATTAACTTTGTTGTTGTTGTTGTTGTAGGCTTGAACTCAGGGCTTAGGCACTGTCCCTGAGCTGCTTCTATGCAAGTATAGTGCTCTAGCACTTTCAGTTTTGTGGTTAATTTGAGATAGAGTCTCACAGCCTTTCCTGCCTGGTCTGGCTTTGAACTCAGATCTCAGCCTTCTGAGTAGCTACGATTATAGATATGAGCCACTGGTGCTGTTTTTTTGTTGTTTTTTTTTTAAATCAACTCCTAACATAAAGCTCTCTACACAATGGAATGTTAGGATAAACAGTAGCCTCCTGAAAGTCCTTGTCCTCTGTGTCTGCAGTGAAACAGCCATTTCACAGAGTCTAGGAAATGGACTGAAAGATCTGGATGTGATGGGGAAAGTCCACGGACCAAATGAGTTCTGCTCAGCTGGGTGCTGTTTGCTCACACCTGTAATCCTAGCTACTCAATAGGCTGAGATCTGAGGATCGTGGTTCAAAGTCAGCCTGGGCAGGAAAATCCCTGTGAGACTCTTATCTCCAATTAACCACTGAAAAACCAGTAGTGGTGCTGTGGCTCAAGTGGTAGAGTGCTTGCCTTGAGCTAAAGAGCTGAGGGACAGCCCCCAGGCCCAGAGTTCCAGCCCCATGACCGACCAAAAAAAAAAAAAAAGAAGTTCTGCTCTTACCAGTGACACAACAGAAAATCCTGTCTGCAGCTTCAATGATTGCAACCCGCTGTGGCTGCTGGCTCAGCCTGTTCTTGCCCTTTTGGTGAAAGTGCTTCAGTGGGAACTTCACTGACCACCACACTCTACTGATCAAAAAGAAACTCCCGGGGAGAGCATGGCCCTTAATGTTTGCCATCAGTGTTCTAGGACACCTACACATCAGTAACAGCTGTTAGGAGGCTGAATGAGAAAGACATATAAATGTATAGCTTAGCAAGAAGCAAACAGATGGCTGAGGATTCCAAATCATAAGCATTATCAAGAAGGATCCATGTATTTATTGGAAAAGCCTTGATGTTAATAGTGTAGTAATCTTGTCAGATAAGTTATGGGATGGAATAATAAGGGCCCTGAAGCTTTAAGAACAAGAATGAAAATGAAAAGGCTAGAAAGGGGAAAAGGAGGAGTGGTAAATATTTATTGACCTCTGGGTAGAGGAACCGGCCTTGAAAAATACTATTTAAGTAGCATTTTTTTTTAATGTGAGAAAGGTTAGCAAATAACAAATCAGAAAACTCTAGCAGCTATAGGATAAATAACTATCATAGAATCTTCACAAATAAAACAAGCAAAAGACAAATGATTAAAAAAATAACACAAACTTGATAAAATTCTAATTCTAGGGATGTACATATGCAATCATGCCATTTTTTGAGAAAATCCATTTGAATAGAAGTAGTTTTGGGATGGCTGAGCACTGGTGGCTCATGCCTGCCATCCTAGTTACTCAGGAGATAGATCTGAGGATCATGATTTGTCACCAGCTTGGGCAAAAAAAAATTCATGAAACTCTAATCTCCAATTAACCAGCAAAAAGCTAGAAGTGGAACTGTGTCTCAAGTGGTAGTGTACCAGCCCTGAGCAAAGAAGCTAAGGGAGAGTTCCCAGGTTCTGAATTCAGGACCATACTAACACACACACACACACACACAAAACTATTATTTCATACATGGATTACTTTTCATCCCAATTACAGTGGCAAGAGAGCATAGCATAAAATTTTGTATGGTTTTTTTCCTTGGAATTGGCAATTTTTCATTTCTTAGGGGTTGGTCCTGGAATTGTGTTCTTGGGGCAGTTCACATTTCCTAGATGTTTTCCATGTGACTTGAAGGCTTGTGTTGCTGTTTCACATTGGAGGAAGCAGTCACCTCCTCCAGTCTGCACTGACTTTGGGAGATGGGCATCTTCTCCACATGCCTAGACTCTCAAAGCCTTTCACTGGATATTCCACATCTCGCCTCTTCTTTCCTCTTGGGAAGGAATCATTATGATTGTAAACTTTCTGAAAAGCCAACTAAAAGCTGAGAGCTTCCTTTATCTTCTACCTGCCAGGTTACCTAAAATGTGGAAACTTGTGTTCTCGTGAAGCCAGTCTCAATAAGACCCTAGCATTTGCGCGTAAGCTCTCTCCTCTCTCTCTCTCTCCCTCTCTCTTTCTCTCTCTCTCTTTCTCTCTACCCTCTTTTTCTCTCCCTCCCTCTCTCTCTCTGAATAAACTTATTCTCTCTGAATAAACATTCAAAGTTTATTGCACGTGGTTTTCACCAAGCACAGTGAATAAACTTATTCTCTGAATAAACATTCCAAGCTTATTGCGCGTGGTTTTCACCAAGCACAGAACTCCAGTGGAGCCGCTGTGTCCGGCGCTGTGTCCGTTCGGGTCCAGTGTGAGGGAGATCGGACGCACTGGGGGCCTCTGGGTGCGCAGCCTGGGGGGTCCCCGCTGCCTGGCGGAGGCCCAAGCGCCCAGGGCCACGCGCGCGCGGGCCTTGTTTCCTCAGAAGGCAGCAGCGCGCCACAGACATTGTGACGTGGCCTCCAGCCCAGTGGGCTGGTCAACGGCAACCTAGAGCCCCAGAGTCCGCGGGCTGAGCCCGGTTTCTGTGGACGCGCCTCATGGGCAGCTGCCTCAGCCAGCTTGTCCAGCTCGGGCGGATCCCCGTCTCTGCTCCCGGCCTGGCACAGGACAGGCCTGGGCGCCCCGGGCCTGCGCGCTGCCCGCGGCCCTGGCAGCCCCTGCGGGTCCAGCGGGTCCACCGCGTGCTCCCCTCCGCGGTCACAGCCTCCAGAAGGTCGGCCCCCGCCCAGCCGGGGACGCCGCACAAACGCTTCCATATTACCCCTAAAAGGCGCTACCCGCTGCACCAGCCCCAGTATCGTCTTGGCTCACTGCCCAGGGTGTGCTGGCACGAAGGTGACAAGAAAGTGACCATCCGGAGGAGGAGCAACCAGACCACTGTGAGGATCCCCGCTCCCAGCCGAAAACCACTGCACAGCGTCCTCCTGTCCTCCCCTGCCGGCCCTGGCCCGGGCCCGGGCGCACCTGAGCAAGAACCCACAGGCCTGGATGGCAGCCGCGGCGGGGGATCCCGTGGGGCCAGTGTGCCCAAGGCCGAGTCCCAGGAGAGCCCAGGAGACCCCGTGAGCGTGTGCACGGCTGGCATCCTTAGCTCGGGCAGCAGGAACGCCATCGCCAGCTCCTACAGTGCTCTGCAGCGCATCCATGGGCCACATCGGTGCAGGAGGAGCAGCCCCGCCCCCGCCCGGCTCCAGACTCCACAGAGGCCAGCCAGCAAAGCCAGAGAGGGGCTGTGTGTCCCTCCCAGCTCCTCACAGTCTCACCAGGTGCCGCACAAGGAGCCCCAGGGAGCCAAGGACCCAGGTCCCGACACTCAGAGGCAGCAAAAGTCAGGCACTGGGAGCTCTGGGACCCGCAAAAGGAAGATTCCGCTGCTGCGCCCCAGGAGGGGGGTCCCGCTGACCTTGCCTCCTGCCCCCAAGCTTGACTATCCCATCACTGTGGAAGACCTGGAGCAGGAGAAGAGAGCCAGGCTGAGGAGGATCACTGAGGTCTTCCTGGACAAGACCGAGGCCACCTCCAGCCCTGTGATGGAGAAGCCACCCTTCTCCCAGCAGCCTCTTGTTGCAGCCTCCACGGCGCCTGTCATCTCGGGCCTGGCGCCTGCTCCCTCCATGGCGGCTGTTGACAGCAATGCCAGTTTATGTCCAGCCCCGGCTTTCAGCCCTGCATTTGGCTTTGGAGCAAGTACCATGGCTTCCTCCTCCCAGCTGCTTCCCTTTGGGGCTCCCCAGGCCAGTGAGGCTGGAGGCCCGAGACCCTCGGCAACAGGCACCTTTAGCTTCCCCGGTGTCACTGGCATGGCCAGCAGCGCCAGCAACACAACTGGAGCGCTGAACTTTGGTGCCTCCACACCCTTTGGGGTTGGTGGGCAGCCGTCTCAGCTTCCGAATGTTCTCCCAGGGGCCCAACCCTTTGCCTCAGGTACCCCTTCATTTACCATTGGTGTGGGACCCAAGACCCAAGATGCTCGGCAGATCCTGGAGGCAAGAAGAAAGCACAGGAAAAAGTAGACTCTGTCCCCTCCCTTCTTCCCATCCCAACCCCCTTTTCCCACATTTGGTCCCAGCATCTTCCAGAAAGACCCTGGGAGTTTCTGGAGCAAGTGCAGATCTCTGGCTTCAGCTGTGTCGCTCCTGGAGGAAGCAGTGGCCTAGGTGAGGGCCACGAGGTGGCCATGGCAGAAGCTCAAGCCTGCCACAGGTGAGGCTGCAAACCTAAGCAGATTGTCCACTTGTTCCCTGACTCCTATGCAGTGTGGATCTAGGTCAGGCACCTCTCCTCCTCTTCTGTGAGTTGCCATTGCTGGGGGGGGCGGGAGGGGGGGGGATGTACCCTGCATCTCTGCTGTGTAGTTAATAGAATAGGGACGCTAAGCTTCCCCTGCTTGGCTTGGCTATGAGAAGTGGCTCTCTCTAGTTATCTCCTCAGGGATTCTCTTGTCCTGTTTTCATTCCATTATCCTCATGGGTCACCTGTGGGACTTGTTCTTTGTTAAATGACTGTGAATCTTGCTTTGCCTCCCAGACCCCGTGGGCGCTGCTCCACTTCCTCCTGGCCAGGCTGAGAACACTCAGCTCCAGAAAAGAAGCTCCCAGAGTGCACAGGATGCTGACCACTCCTTCCAGTGCCTTCTTCCACACCTACCCTTCATCCACCACCCCAGGGTCACATCTGCCTCTCAGCCTCATCCTGTAGGAACCTGATGCTCGCATGTGCTACTCTTTGCTGAATCTTCTGGGGGAAGAACTGAAGTGGTCACATGGCGGTCTGATGCCACTGAATACTGAACTGTTGCTGTTTATACTGCTAGGGCCACAGGGCTGGAGCCCTGGACTGGCACAAAGACCTTCCTGCATGGATGCTCTCCCACAAACCCATCTCCATTACAGGGGATCCCTAGTGTGTATCAGGAGGCTGGAGGACTCAGACTTTAGTTACTTGTCCCCAGCAGGACCCACCCCAGCCGTCCCCTTGCTCTTATGTTCTAAAACCACCCCAGCCCTGAGCCTCGCTGCCGTACTGACCTCTTTGGTAGATATAGAAGATTTATATGTACAGTTTTTAAACCACTTAAAATATTTTCACAAAATAAATTTTGTTTTTGTATTTAAATTGTGTTCTTTTGCCCCCCCTTGTTTGGTTTGCTGAAGTGGTTAATTATAAATGCTGATAACTAGGAGTTAGCTGTTTGGTTAATTTTATCTGTCTGAAGGAGAGGCTCAGGGCTGCCCTGGCACTGTCTCATACATAGAGTTCTTGTAACGTGAATGTGTGGTGTAGCTGTAACCCGTGACGGGTTGGACGCCCTGTGACAGAGCACTGCCTGCCTCTTCCAGGTGCACACCTCCTGCTCCCACGAGCTGCTTTCTGACATATGTGGCTTGGCCATATGGAGCTGTGAGAGGAGCCTGGTCCTTAAGACCCAAACCCTGTCAGCCTTAGAGGGTAGGGGTGGATCCTGTGCTAGAAATGAACCTTCACCCACACCTCTGTAATGTGGAACTTTAGTCTGAGCTAGTTTACCTCAGCTCCATAGACAGGCACAGGTCCATGGGTCCCAGTACAGCCCAAGTGTGAGTAAGCAGGTCCTGTCTGCACTGAACAGGAATGGGAGGCATTTAGATGATTATGAATCGTTCTTTGCCATATAGCCCCCAACATGTGCTGCTCTACTTCCTCCTGTCCATGCTGAAGCCTTCATCTCCAACCCTCTTGTCATTCTGCACCTATAACCCTGGTGGCTCAAGAATGTTAGTGTGACAGAACCAAGG